ATCTATGCCTTTCCCCTCCAGACTAGAAACTCCTAGCAGGTAGCTGCCGTTGATGTGGAAGGCAGGAGCTGCCACTGCACGGTGTAGGTGGGTGCAGAGAGATGCTGCTCCCACGGACTCTGCGATGCAGCACAGGGGAGGCAGGTTCCTTTCTTGTGGTATCCTAAATAAAGCAAGTTTTTTATGTGCACTGCTGGAGTCCAGCATGTGCCATATGAGGCCTGTTGAGTCAGAAATTGGCTTCTGAGGGGTTGCCTGGCTGTTCCAGCTCTGGAAGCTGCAATACAGTGGTGCTACAGAGCCCGACCTGAAATACTAAGATGAGAAGCCCCTTCATATTCAAAGATCTGGAGCTCTTTCTGGAGCTTTTTTGGGAGAAAAAAGCCTTTTCTTTTAATGACTTTCCTTGCCCGTTTTTGGAATGGTAAGTAAATGTGAGCAAGGCATGTGCTTTTCCATTGTGACCACTATTGCTTGTTGCAGCTGCTCCTCATGTGTGCGTCTCAGCGCAAGTGTCTGCTCGGTAAGAGGCACGTAGCTGGTAGGGAGACGGGAGAAATACGTCAATGTGAACCTATGTCTCTAACTAGAGGCATGGTGGCTAGGATGGGGCCCTGTTTCTGGTTCTGCAGGGCCCTGTTGACTGGCCTTGGACAAGTTGCTCTGGGTCTCCCTTGGCCCTGGCTTCCTGAGCCACGGTGGAGGATATGCTGTCCTCATCGTATCGAGTGCTCTGAGCTTAGGTGCTGGATGGTGGCTCTCTAAGTGGTGGAGTTGGGTCTGGTGCTGCTGTAAAAACTGATTTGGCAAATAACTCCTTTGAATGTCTGCATCTGAGAGATGGCAGTGGGGAGGAGAGGGTTTTGCAAGGGTCCAAAGAGGAAGATGTTGTGACTGGACAATCTGGGGAGCAGGAGAGTGTGTGCTAAGCAGGCGCAAATAATGAGGCGGTGGCAACCCTTCTTCCCTTTGGGAACACCAGTGGCGCACTGTTAATAGGAGGTGTATGTTTCTGGTAACATGGAGAGCTGCTGAAGTGGCCTGTTCGTGCTGCATATTTGGGAAATGCTGGATGCATTTCGATATGTTTGAAGTGCTTAAATGTTTTTAATCCAATGCAACCTAAGTTGTCAAACCTAATACTTGTGCAGAGTGAGTGGCCTGGAGCTATTTCTGTTTTGTTGCCCTGTGTGTAGCATTGCCTCCAAGATGTTGCTGTTGCCATTTACTTTCTGGGAACGGTATGTCTCAAACAATGTATTGTTTCCCTAGGGCCCCAAGAAATTTCTTATTTCTATCTCCAGGAAAATTAAAGTGTACTAGCTCCAAAATACAAACCAGAATGTAGCAGTATTTTTCCACCAGGAGAATTATTTTTCTCTCTTACCAATGTGGCTTTTTTATGGAGTGAATAAATGCATTTATAATAACCCTGCGGGTGTGATTTAGGCTACTGTTCACTGAAGTGACTACCCACAGAGTTGCGTAACCTATGAGAAGATGGATTATAATAAGTTGGTTTAGTTCACATCAGCCACTTCTTTACTGTCCTCTTGATGCCCCTGGCAGAGTGGGTTTCAACTCAGTTCCCGGAGGGGGGAGTGCACCTTGCTTTGATTTCACCCCAAGTTATTTAGCAAAGGTGCGGTGTAAGGTTCCATGAAATCTGGAAAGATAAGGTGTGGTTTTGGGGGTTTTTTTCCCTTTGATGTGAGCTCTTCTGCAGGTGACCACCAACAGCAATTAGTGCCTTTTCTTACTGCATTTGTGTGCTAAAGGTGTTAGAGGGTGCCCTGCTTCTGCTGACTTCCCCGTGCTTTCTTTGAGCCCCTTGTGTTCACTCGCCCTTCCTGGGATTGCCAGAGATCCACCCCAGGCAATGCTGTGCCTCTGGCTTTCTTGGCATCCCATCAGCCTTCCTTCACTGTTGTCCCCTTTGATTTTTGTTGGTGAGCTCCCGGACCCCATCAGCCTGGGTGACTCTGAGCAAGGGCTGGTGCCACAATGGGGCTGGTGGTGCTTGCTTCTGCTCCTCATGCTGCCTTTGCTCCGCTCTAGTGTCCAGAACCAGGTGGATGAAGTTATCGACGTTATGCAGGAGAACATCACAAAGGTGATTGAAAGAGGCGAGCGGCTGGATGACCTGCAGGATAAATCAGGTGCGATGCTAAATGCAGCTCTGCTGGCTTTTTCCCCACATCTCTTCCCCATTGCTGGGCCAGGTTACCTGGTTTCAGTTCAGAAAGTGCCTAATGACAGACAATTCTGGGCTTGTATTTCTATCCTTATTGGATAGTGGTGTTTCCCAGCCTTGGGCTGCAGATCTGACTTTCTGCTGACATTCTCCTCTTTCCACCTTTGCCTTCTGCTGCTCTGCACAGAGGCGTTAGTTTGGAGGCGTTTGGGTGCTGTGATCTAGTTGGTCCTTCAAGCTAAGGTAGATTGGTCTGTCTCCCAACAGCCCTGAGCACTTCAGCTGTCTGCTCGCTTAGTGGCTTGCACAGTGAATTCCTGTCCTCAGAGGGCAGCCAGTACAAAGGGGGCTCAGTGGGACTCGGCAGGTCTGTGTGTGCTCTAGCGAAGGGCGTCACACTGGAATCTGCTGTGGCTTTGGTGAATCACGCTGTGGTTGGGTCTTTTCCCCTAATGCTGAGTTTATTGCTTAAAACTCAGTGGAGTTAGTGGAACGAGTGGATGCTCTGACTGTGTGTATGCTGCTGAATCGCCTCTTTTCTTTCCTTCAATAGAAAGTTTATCAGACAATGCAACAGCTTTTAGCAACAGAGCCAAGCAGCTTCGGAGACAGATGTGGTGGCGAGGTTGCAAGGTGAGCAAGAACTGGAAGAGGCAGGGGTGGGTTTGTGGAGGGGCGGTTACCTGCCCTCCCCTGGGAGGGGATGAAGAAGCTCTGCTTTCTAGCCGAAAAGATGCTGGAAGGCAAAGGCCTCCTTTCCGGTAGAAGCAGCTTCACGTGGCACCCCGTGTAACATGCCTCTGTACTCCCCTTGCAGATGAAGGCGATCATAGCACTGGTGGCGGTTATTCTCCTGCTCGTGATCATCGGTGAGTAGCTCCAGGACACCCCAGCCATGTCTGGCATTGAAATATTCGTGGCACTCCGCTCCATGAGTGACACTGTGGTGCTGTTGTCCCTGGGGAAAAGCACCTGAGCCACTCCCGTTGGGCCCCACTCTGCCTTAAGCGGTCATAAATGGTGCCTGTAGAGCACTCCATGCTGCTCTTCTGCAAGGTTTAAACATGCACGCAGAAGAACAGGCTCAAATCAAGTCCTACTGACCGTTGCCAAAGAAAGCCAACATTTCCCTGCCAAGATTGTACTGATCCGGGGTTGGCACCAACTGATCCTGAGGCTGGTGGGAGTAGATGGAAGAGTTTGAGACCAGAGCAATGCCTTCCAAAGGCCTCTCCACATGTATCAACTATTTTGCAATGAGTCTGCTCCCAGCAAATGCTTTTCCCCAAAGCTGCCCGGCTGCTTAATTTTCAGCAAGTAGCTGTTGTGGCTTTGCCATTGGTCCCTTCCCCTGCCCTTCCTGGTCCCTCTGGAGCTCCCCAGAGCAGAGATGTTGCTGCTTTTCCTACTAAACAGGTAATAACAACCAGAGCGTATTTCTTCCCGGCAGAAGTAGTAATTCAGCCCTCTGCCTGCAGAAAGATGTGCTCTAGGGATCCAAGCAGCCCAGCACAGGAGCAAAACTCTTCCATGCCACTGGGTCTGGAGGGTTTTCCTCCCACTGGCCATGGCTGGGGGCATCTCTGTAACAGTTCCCATTACTTCGGCAAAACCCTTGCGGCTTGTTGTCCTGCTGACACACAGCCTGCAGTGGGAGAGGCAGAGCTGGCAGCAGGGTGGGAGTGTTGGAGAGAGAGAGACTGATGGAAAATCCCATCTGGTTTAATTTTGGGAAGCTGGAAGGAGATGAAGGTGGCAGGAAGTGTTGTCTAGCATGTGTGCAGGCAGCAGATTGCATTAGCTTGAGCTTGGAAACACACTTTCCCTTGCAACTGCTTGGTGTTTATCACTACAGAAACAGGAGGGATATCTCTGGCAGGGATCAATGTTGCATGCAAAGGTGTGTGGCTGAGAGCTTGTTTCTTTGTGTTTTCCAGTACCCATAGTCCTGAAGTACCATACCTGACGGGGCAGCTGGAGGCTTCGGTGGAGCTGGCTCTGGGATAACCAAACTGCTGTGTAATTTAAGTGAGATATCTGTATATAGCTTTGAAGTTGTTTTTCTCCAAGGAGCGAGGAGGTGGCGGCAAGTAGCCAGTTCTAACAGAGCATTTTAAGAACTGCCAAATGACACCCCCCCTTTTCTTTTTTTTGGTCAAGTACCTGCTGTCAGACTTTTTTTATAACAAGATTCAGTTCCCAAACCGCCTGTTCTGTGGAATTCTGGGTCTCTGGTTTGGAGCTGGCTACTTGCCACTACAGTTTATCTGTATATATGGTTGAGTTGTAATATTAATACTACTACTGTTTGAACAGTTCCCCACTGCCTGTTGTGGAGGGCAGAGGGGACTCTGTCCTTTCATCGGAGCAAAGGAGGGGGGAAATGTCTGAAGAGAAACATACCATTATGTTACAGGGAGCTGATCCTTCTGTGGAGAACTGCAAGGGTGTTTCTCTCTTGTTCAAAAAAAAAAAAAAAAGAAAAAAAGAAGTAATTAAGTTTTACAATCCAGAAGACTTTCTGGCCCTGCCATGGGAATGCACAAGCTCAGTGTTTTCAGTATCGCCGCTTACAGCTGTGACTAAAGACATTCCAGTAAACCTATTTTTGACTGTACATGTGGAGTTCCTGCACGTCTTCATAGTGTTCTGGAAGACATTCACAGCTCTCCACTGCCGTGAGTCTGTAGGAAAGGGCTGTTCAGTGTTTTCTATATGCACACTTCTGGCTTTTGGTTAGCCCAATGATATAAAAGATACAGCAGGAGGATGGTAACTCTCCTGAAACCAGTCCAGGGTGAACAAGCCCATTTCATATTCAGAGCCTTTCACCTTGATGTGGTGGTTGTGGTCCTGAATGCCAGCCCATTTTGCATCCCTGTGATCTGGTGGGGTGGGGGTTGTTCCCAGGCAGATGTGCTGGGATGCTTGGGGAGGCGTAGGGGCCCCTGTGCTGGACTAAACAGGAGCTGAGCTCCTCCATCTATGGGTGGGACTGCTGTGTTTTGGCTGTCTCCAACCTTGGTCTCAGGTGTCGGTGGCATTTCTGTCTGCCCTTTATTTTTGGGACCCTCATTCCTTCCAGCCCTGAGCCTGGAACTTTAACTGAGCTGACATCAGGCTCTCCTGGTTCTCTTTCTGCTGTCTCTTTTCTGATGAGAGAAGCATTGTCCTGCTTAGTGTGTGTCTGAAGTAATGTTGGAGAGGGGAAACGGTGCCCCAGAGAATTCCCAGTGCCATGTCCCAGCTTCCTCTTTTGAACCTGTCCCCAGGACCTTGTACCCAGTTTCCACCTGAGTGGTGGTGCTGCCTCATGCAGAGAAGGGGATTAAAAGTGAGCACAGCAGGCTGGAGGGTCGGATGTGATTACAAGCTCCACCTGCCCAGCTGGAATATAAATAGGGCTTTTCCCCTCTGTGGGCCCTGGTCTCTCCAGGTGGGAACCAGAAAGCCAAGCTTGGTTTTTCCTCCTGAAGTGTAGCCTGGTTTTAAGATCATGCACCCAGTGGAAGGGACAAAAATCATCTGCCTATGCCTTTGGCTATTCTCCACCTGCAAGGGAACAAGAGGGTGGATGAAGAGGGACTGTGTCTGTCTTCAGGGCGGCTGCAGGTCTTGCTGAGCTATCGGGTACTTTCTCCTGCCAGCTGGAAAGTGAGTTAACGGTGCTGCGAGCCTGTGTAATGGCTGTGCTGTGCCTGCTCTGGCCTGCCTGCTAGGGCAGGCTTTACTCCTGCTGCTGGAGAGTCCTGCCAGTGCTTCTGGCTTTCTCTCCCAGCCCCATTCTGCCTTTGCTGCTGCCACCCACAGAAGGACCTTGGTGCTGCAGCAGCGCGTCAGGACTTCATATCCCTGCTGGCACCAGGTCTGAGCAAGAGAAGTTAGTTTTGCAGTTGCTTGCTAGAGGCAAAGCCTGGCTTTAAAGCTGGGCTGAGGGCCTTGGAAAATGGGTGCTGGTAGGATGAAGGCTTCACGGTAACCCTACAGTATTAAAGAACTGCTTATAGCTGCTGCATTTGTGAGCTGCTGCTACGCCCTCCTGAGCCCTGTCCTTGCTGGGTTTGGCAGATCTCTCTCAGCAGCATGTCCTTGGGGAGAGTTTCCAGGTAGTGTTGAACTCTCCTCAGTGCAGGCACTGGCATACCACCCTGAGAAGTGCTTGTTGTTATCACCATGCCAGCAGTGTGCCGCTTCGGACAGGCGCAAACACTTTTCCAGCTGACTCAGATCCATGGAAAATGAGGTGGCAAGGTTAGCGGCCCTGACCCTGGACCGTTTGTGTCTTGTGCCTGCCTCGGACTCATCCTTCGGTACCAAAGGGACTGGATCAGGCCCACCCCAGGCACCTGACCACAGCCAGCAGGTTCTTGCCCTGGAAAAGCTGCCTTTCCTCAACGGCGCTGCCAGAGTGCTTTCGCAGCATCTCCCAGGAGGTTGGGGTGCAAATGGTTGTACTTGAGATGCAGGGCGGGGAAAGCTGCCATGGCCAAAGCCTTCAACACGCTTCCCTGGGTTGCCAGGATTAGGTGGTGATCAGTTTTGGATTCAAGTCACTGAATGCTGGGGTTGTTGTGAGCAAGAGGCCAGCTCTAGCTGTGAGAGGCACCAGCAGCAGCAAATCAACAGTCCTGGTCAGTAACTTCACAGTAATAGAATTTACTGAGCAAGTTTTATAAGAGATTTCCACCCACCCCCACCCCCCAAGGCTGAAAAGCCCATTACAATGTCTGGCCTCAGGTACGTTCTAGAGCAGTCCTCTTTATGTTCCTTTGAGATACCATGGTCTTTATATTGCAGCCTGTGCCATCCCACCCTGGACTGGTGGCAGGGAGAACTGTAGTGAGTGGAAAAGGTGGTTGTTTCCAGCAGCATCTGCATGCTTTGGGGTTGGTTTTCACCTAGGAGACGTTATAAAGGAGATTTTACAACAAAAACAATTCCTTCACCCAAGCGTTGGGTCTGTTTTATTCATTCCCTCTTTGTGCAGAAGACAGACCTCTTCATTAGCTGCTGTTTTCCACATGATTGCTTTTTTTACAGGGAACGGCATGTTTTGGCTGGAGTTGCGCGTTCCTGCTGCAGGGCTGGTTCCTCTTCCCAGGCTTGCTAGTGTGACCCATGTGGCAAGACCCTGGGGTCCCCACGCCTGAGAGCACGGGCACTGCAGGGATGGATGGCTGCAGCTCTGATGCAGGTGGGGAGAGGCCTCCCCAGTCCCAGCTCAGGAAGCTGGCCAGATCAGAGGGGAAGAAGTCCCCCCCGGGGAGTCCACTTGGAAAACAGGAGCTTCTGGGGGGGGCTGGGTCTGAGGTGGAGGGCTGGGTACTGTGGTAGGAGAGCTCCCACGACTCTGCTGCTTCACAGGGCGCTCGCTGCTCCCTGCTACCCTTTGGCTGGAGAGTACTGACACATTCCTCTAGGGCTCCACAGCAGGAGCGGCGACCGTCTCTTGACTCCCAAGTCCAGCTCTCTCCCCACTAATGTTCTTGCTACAGCCGCCAGCTGGTCCTGCATCTACCGTCAGACAGCTGGAACTCGATCTCTCCGCATAGGAGATCTGGTGTCAGAAAGCGCAAAGAGTTGCCAGAGGTCGGGGAGTAAATAGCAGCAGCGCTTGGAGCACGCTCCACTACCCCATTCCCCCCAACTACGTGTGATTCTACTTCAGGGAAAATAGGGCGAGGGATCCCCGGCCTGCCAAACTCTCGGGAAGTAAACAAGGAGGCGGCCGCCGCCGCCCCGCTGCA